TATTCCCTGTACACATAGCTAAAATCAAGCCCTAAAACAAGAACACCAGACTTTGAGAAAGTAGTGTCAGACTAAGTGCAAGTTCTCACTAAGTACAGCATCATCTGCTGTAGCGTGTGATTACTAACAAGAATTACATGTTTATACAGCTCCTTAAACGAGCACTTAAAACTCGTTTTTGCTAAAGCTGGCACACTGATCAACCCTCCTTGTGTTCCAAAGCAAAGAGTTTGCAGCATCTCATTATTAGTTTCGGTTAACACTACCCTGTGGTAACCACACACAGAACAAGCCTTACAAGTGTAAGTACACTAGCAAGTCAGAAAATGCCTTCAGATAAACCAGTCTGCAATACATATTCAGCTATCACATGCTCAGAATTTTTTTTGCGTTTTAGAAACTGATTTACCAGCCCCAAAACTTATGGATTCTAAACCTTATAGAAAGGAGTCATGGGAATCACCACAATGGTTAGTTATTGAAATGGAAAACTAGTCAGTACATCTGAGTATTCCTCTCAGTTTTGATTTTCAGCACTTATTTCAACCAGAAATTAACAGACTCTTTTGTAACATTATATTTATTTTGGAGTGCTCGTAGTGCTTTTTATCCTTTTACCCAGCAGAGATGCAGTGGAATTTTACCTAGATTTGGATCACAGTATTGAAATACTGCTTTAATGGAGCTTCCATCTCCTGCAACCCACCAAGAGTAATGAAGTATATATAAATACAGAATCATTCAGCAACAGCTTTAGAAAGAATAAGTTATTAGAAAGAATTAAATATCTGCAGCCTCTTCAGTAACACTGTACAATATTGGCCAGCGAGCACAAGTTCTCCCAGTTAAATATATCTCCAAAAAGATGATTACCATGAAATCTTATGTTAAGAATTTTACAAAATACACTGCAATAGCAATTCCTTTTCTGTATTACTGAATTCAGCCAATTATTTCACAACTTTTTAAGTTAACTTTGAGAAAGCCTTGATACTTTGCTCAGTTCCTCAGGTATGCCTTAAGCCCCCTCCATCACACTTTCTCTGAGCTATTAACAATTTCAGGACTGATTTGCAAGAAGTCTCTAATTCTTGTTTGCTTAACAGCATCACAGTTTCTCTCAGAAAAACTAAATGAAAAGCCCATTCAGACAAGACACGCAAAGGTACTTTCCCACAATTACAATGCAAGTTAGCAACAACATACTTCAGTGACCACAGAATCAACTTTTTCTTTGGGATAGACTTCTATGGCTCAAGGTCTTTGGCTGAAAATAAACCCTGAGGGCTCAATATATTTTACTGAAGTCATTCATTAGGAATTCAAGGCCTACCCCCATCCTCAGTCAAGACATATGCTCAAAGCTTGTTTATTCTTCCTGAAACTACAGAATACTACCCACATGGGTAGAATTCAGTTTTCAAATAGACACATACAAAAAGAGGAGGTCATGCTTTAAGACAGAAACAAAGGCCTCCTTGGTTTAACAAATTGACGGTTACTGTCAATGCATTTGAACTCCCTTGAAGTCTCTGTATCTGCTTTCTTTCCATGAATCCTCTTCCTAATAATTTTCAGAAAGAAAATGGAAGGTCTAATAGCAGCTTCTCCTTACATTCTGTTACTCATCCTCTCCCCCAAAGAATTTAAATTCTAGTAGTAGGCAGAAACAGTCTGATCATACATATAATAGAAAATAGCTACAGCAACTCCCACTTCAAAAAGCAGGATTATCAGCCTTTACATCTTCAACCTTTCTTTATAAAGATCTAAAGGAAACCTTGAGCAATACAGGAATCTCAAGGCACAAAAATTACATACACCTCATGAAGAAGTTAAAGTAATTGAAAATTAAAACTACATTTTACACATTTGAAAGAGATACACTGCTCACAATACTTACCTGTATGACTGTTGAAGTGTGCAAAATTAGCAAAATTTGCTGTAGCAGTTGACTGAGGAGGAGCAGCAGCAAAGATATCTGAGCCAAGGTCACTGAGGAGGTCAAATTGTTTCTTTTCTTGTTGCTGCTGTCCTTGAGATCGAACTACAACAGGAGACTACAAACAACATTTCAATTAGCTACTAAAAGCTGATATTTTATCAAACTGACTTTTGCAAAACGCTAGAAGGATAGACTAAGCATAATTCTTTAACAAGCCATTTAGCCCTGAAGTTTAAGTCACTGTATACAGCACAGACCCTCCCCCTATAGTAAGAGGAAGACAATTTATTTATGCTACTACGGTGGCTTTTAAAAGAACTCTGCAGCAGATTTCCATGGATTAATAGTGCCTAGAAGAACAAAGTAGCAGAATATAAGCAACTTCAAAATTATGTTTTTAAAACTGCAAATGCTGTATAAACAGAAGTAATAAAAATTTTACAAGTTGGAAAATAGTTATTCACTGCATTCTGAAAAAGTCTTTAGAATTCAGTATAGG